GCGCATGAATGGCCGCATGTGAGCAGAGCAGATGCAGAGGGCTGGCGGCCGCCACCGCATGGGAGCAGAGGGCGGCGGGACTGCCGAGCGAGGGCCGCCGGCGAGAGCGAAAGCTGCAGGGCGCCGGCCACCGGCGGAGCAGAGGGCGGGCGTGACTCGCGAGTCGCGAGCACAGGGCCGGCGGCGGCTGTTAATTTCCCGTGAAATTTTTGTCGCTACCAGCCAAAACCCCTTATCCCTCCCACGCTTCGCGCAGTGACCCATCGACCCGCAGCGCTCACGCAGCTTGTTACGCGCTTTCTGGCGCTTCGCCCGATGGTGGCAAAAAAAAACAGCCAAAACTAGTCGTCCCACCCCTAATCGGACGACTAATCGCGATTAGGCGACGATTAGTCGGACGACCAGGCCCCTAATCGAGCTAATCGGGTCGAGGTCCCTAATCGAGCACCCAGGACCGATTAGGACGATTAATCGCGATTAATCGGACGACTTGAAATCATTGTTGCCTCCTTGGATTGTGCTTCATTTGGGAAAAGTGGTCTATTTGTTTCGCATCTTTAATAAAGCGTTACCTTTCCATCCATTCAACATTTCTTCTTAAAAAAACATGGAATTCTGATTGTATTGTTGTTTACTCTGAGGTGGACATTGCCTTTGTAATATCTTCTATTAATATAGCAGTAGCTTTAAGCAGTGTCCGTGTAAAATGGGGCATATTTATTTTCTTCTTAGTTATGAATGAAATACTGGATGCTAAAATGCAAACTCTTCCATGAGCTGTCCAGGAAGGGCTATTTCTGTTCAATCATTAGGCAAAGTTCGTTCCATTTGGTTGAATGCTTATGATCACACTTTTCATGTTTGCACTGAAATGTCGATTGCCCTAGCTGCAACATATGTCCACTAGTCCCTATCTATTGGTCAATTTACACTGTCTGCAAATACATTTTAATTTTCTGTCCCATCCATGATATTCAATCATACCATTCTGAATTGGCACCCTATTGGTTTATTCCTACTTTGTCAAGTGTTTGTATGTGAAAACTGTCGTGACATCTGTTTGTGTGATCTTGCGGGCATTTGCTGTTCTTTTATGATACATGTGACGGAAAGGACGCAGGGGGCTTTGATGTTTTTTCCATTAAAACTTTGTGTAAGATGTTACTTGCTTTGAAAGAGTCAAGGTTCAGCATATATCAATGCCCAGTATAGCAGCCCATATGTATCCAGCAATACCTTTTTAATTCCATTTCTGGGTGCTAAACTTGTGGGCATCGTCTGATGCCAGACCCCACAAGACCGAGTGCTGGGACATGAGGGGAAGCGCTGATGGCTCATATGCTTTCCATAATGTGTGAATCTATGCATACTGTGTATTTGTAGCTACTGTTTAGTGGAAGATAGGGGTGAAAGCAGTATGGGAAATTCCCATGCCGTCCGATACCTTTTTCCGTATTATGAAAACGTTTTTGACGTTTCTGTTTTTAGCAAACATAAAAGTTTGTCATTTTCTTATTTTAGCATAACTGTTTTCTTATTAATTAAATTCATAAATATGGGAAAATCCTGTACTGACCATTTTCCTGTTTTTCGTACTATAGTACAGTTCCTGACTGTTTCCAATCGTTTTCATTCCTACTAGTGGAAGACCATTAATAGACATCAAACATGACAGAATTCCTGTGTGCCTGTGTCCAACTGAACTTTATTATGGTTGTGTGGCTCTGGCAGCCTAGAGATTATCACCCACATAGGGGAGGAAGAAAACATAGCCTAGGGACCAGCTTTTATATTTTGGGAGATCTCCATGCCATGTGTACAGCATTCCAAAATAAGATTTAATTACACAGCCATTTCAGGGTTCAGAATGGTCATACCGTCATAGTATTTTGAATCTGAATCTTTGTTGCACTAAAGTGCTCGAAGAATGAAATTCTGTTTGTCTTGGGATCCTGAAATTTAAACTAATAACAACAGTACTTGTAGAACTAGTGTGCTCATTCGGAGGAATTTTAGATGCAATCAGGGCAGACATGGTTGAGATTAGTTCATTCTAACTTCTTTTCAAAGGAATTTCTGTCAGATTGTGGCTAAATAGTCTTTCTCTGTTAATGTTCATATTTCCATCTGTCGCGCTTATTTTGAGGAGAAACATAACATGTGCTTTCCTTTTTTGTTTAGGTTGCAGCAGTACAAAATAGTGGAGATGAAGCTTCTGGCACAACAAAGGGATCTTCAGGTGCTCATATTATTTTCCTTCAGATTTTTGTATGCTTGCCTATGTGATGTATGATATTCACATGATTGGCAAACTTAATGTTGCCTAATGAAGCCAAACTGAACTTATGGGTGAAAGTGTGAAGATTTGGTTTACATCTAAGGCTTTCATCATGAACCTCTTAGACATAGGTGATAGCTCCTAGAAGTTCATAATTTCTTCATTATTCCAACACAAGCCCTGTTATTCCTTAGCACACCTGTTCTCAATCTAGTATTGATTAAAGTAAGTTACTCCCTCTTTTCTAACAGGCGCTTTGATAAATTGATCAGACATAGATGCCAAGAGTATTTTGATAAATTGTTCAATGGTGAGAACAAGAACACCACTGTTCAGCTGAACGACTCGTTTGATGACACTAACAGGCGCTTTGTGCAGAGTATTCAAGAATCGGAGGTCAGAGAAGCCTTGAAAATGATGAAAGGGGGCAAAGCAATGGGCCCTGATGGTATCCTAATCAAGGTGTGGAGATGTCTCGGGGATATAGTTATAGTATGGCTAACCAAGATGTTCAACAATATCTTTCGATCGAATAAGATGCTTGAGGAGTGGAGAAGAACCATATTGGTACCAATCTACAAGAACAAGAGAGATATCCAAAGTTGTACTAATTATCGGGGAATTAAGTTGATGAGCCACACTATGAAGTTATGGGAGAGAGTCATCGAGCAGCGCTTGCGAGGAACGACGCAGATATCAACAAATCAATTTGGTTTCATGCCCGGAAGGTCAGCCACAGAAGCAATCTTCTTAATAAGACAGATTATGGAGTGGTTTAGAGAGCAGAAGAAGAACCTCCACTTGATTTTCATTGACTTGGAGAAGGTTTATGATAAGGTCTCAAGAAATGTTATGTGGTGGTCTTTGGACAAACATAAAGTCCTATTAAAGTACGTGATCCTCATCAAGGACATGTACAACAATGTTGTGACTAGTGTTCGAACAAACGATTGTAACATAGATTACTTCTCGATTAAAATTAGACTTCATCAAGGGTCAGCCTTAAGCCCGTATGTCTTTGCCTTAGTAATGGATGAGGTTACCAGGAACATACAAAGGGATATCCTTTGGTATATGTTGTTCGCTGATGATGTAGTGTTAGTGGACGAAAGTCAGGCGGGAGTAAATAGGAAACTAGAGTTATGGCGGCAGACCTTTGAGTCTAAAGGTTTTAGATTGAGCAGAACTAAAACCGAATACATGAGATGTGACTTTGGCGGAGTTGTACAGGAGGAGGGAGATGTGAGTTTGGAAGGTCAAGTAGTGCCTAAGAAGGATACCTTTCGGTAACTGGGATCGATGCTATAGAGGGACGGAGATGTTGATGCGGACGCTAGCCATAGAATCAAAGAAGGGTGGATCAAGTGGCGACAAGATTCTGGCATTCTCTGTGACAAGAGTGTACCACAAAAGCTAAAAAGCAAGTTCTATAGAACGACGATTAGACCGGCTATGTTGTATGGAGCAGAATGTTGGCCTACAAAGATTCGACATGTTCAATAACTAAGTGTCGCAGAAATGCGTATGTTGCGATGGATTTGCGGTCACACAAGAATGGACTGAGTTCGGAACGATGATATACGTGATCACCTAGAGGTAGCACCAATTGAAGAAAAACTTGTCCAACATCGGTTGAGGTGGTTTGGCCATGTCCAAAGGAGACCTCCAGATGCACCAGTGCATTGTGGAGTCTTAAGCTAAGCTAATAATATGAGGAGAGGTAGAGGAAAACCGAAATTGACATGGAGGATGCAATAAAAAGAGATTTGAAAGCTTGGGATATACCTAGAGATCTATGTTTGAATATGAGTACTTGGAAAGTAGCTATTGAAGTGTCTAAACCGTGACTTGGGGCTCTTGGTGGGTTTCAACTCTAGCCTACTCCAACTTACCTGGGACTGAAAGGCTATGTTGTTGTTGTTGTTGTTGTACTCCCTCTTTTCTAAAATGTAAGTTAATTTAGTCTTGTACTAATTCGAAATTGACCAGGTTTATAGAAAAATATAGAGTGAAATCCACTGGGGGTCCCTAAACTTGTCCAGCGTTCTCAAGTAGGTCCATGTACTCTGAAAACCTGAAATTTGGGCCCCTAAACTTGATTAATGTATCAGTGGAGGTCAAACCGGGAATGGGAAGGCTGTTTCGCCAACCTGGACTGCCAACGTGGCTGCTGGGCTCGTGTGGGAGTAGCCTGTGGGCTGCCAAATATTCCAGGAGTCCCTTGCCGGGTTCGCATTTTTATTTCTCACCCCCGCAACCTCCCAGTCGGAGGGGGCGGACTTGGTGAGCAGCGAGGCGGACGCCGACGAGCACGACAAGGCGTCGGCGGAGTAGAGGAAGGCAGCGTGGTGTGCAGCGGGAGGTGGCACGTGCAGAGGAAGGCGCATCTGGATCGCTTAAAGCATGGCTCCTAGGTTCGGCAAGGACGGAGAACCTCCGCCGGAGTACGGCGAGTCTCTCTGTGACCTAATCTCTTGCGGGTTGAGTGTTGTAGGGAGGAAGAACCTCCTCCGCAGGACGTAGATGACTGCTTCTTGTGCAATGCTTGCGCAATCTTTGAATAGTTAGGGTTTGGATTTAGTTGGAGTTGTCCAATTTGGCTACTGTTGGGTTGAAATAGTGATTTCTAGGGTTTGGATGCATGTTGTTAGCGCAGATTTTGTTTGCAGCTGGGTTTGCAGTGTGAAATTGTTCAATCAAGTTTGCTGTTTGTGTAATGTAGGTCCTGGTTTCAACGAATTTTCACTAGAAGTACATCATGGAGGTTCTTTCTGTGGTCGTGGTGCTAACAGAACTTATGTAGACGGTAAAGTGACATGGTATGACAACTTGGAAGTAGAGTTCTGGTGCTATGTGTGGATAGAGGACCTGGTCTTGCAGCTAGATTATGGCCTGACTGACAATGTGAGTGTGCGCTGGTTACTGCCTGGGAAAGATTTAAGTGATGGGCTTAGGATCATTTCGTCTGGATTGTATGGTAATGACACAAGTTGCAGATAGGGTGAAGAACTTTGTGCTTTATTTTGACCACTACAAGTACGCAGGGGTTACTGACTGGGATGATGTAGTGTTGAACCCAACTTCTGAGTTACCCAAGGTTGTCAGCCCTGTGAAGGTCATTCATGTTGAGAAGCAGTCTAGGGATAAACTACCAGAGTTCTATAGTAACATAGAGGTTGCAAGCCATGGTAATGCTGCTGCAGACATGTCTGATGATGACAGTGAAGATTCAAATTACATTGACAGTGACTATGACTTAGAAGATGGTGATGATGACTTGTTTGCGGACAATGTTGATGAAGAAGTCATAGATGGGGGTGCAGGAAGGGGAAAGAAGATGAGCAAGGGCAACAAGCCATCAGCAGGCCCATCTGTTCCCACCCAATCAGAAGACAGTACTGATGAAGACTTTGATTTTGATGGTGAGTCAGATGGTGAAAGGGAAATGAAGTTGAAATTCAGATCTTTCAACCCTGATGACCTGGTGAACCCAACTTGTAGAACTAGTGTGCTCACTCGGAGGAATTTTAGATGCATTCAAGGTAGACATGGTTGAGATTAGTTCATTCTAATTTCTTTTCAAAGGAATTTCTGTCAGATTGTGGCTAAATAGTCTTTCTCTGTTAATGTTCATATTTCCATCTGTCGCGCTTATTTTGAGGAGAAACATAACATGTGCTTTCCTATAGTGGAGATGAAGCTTCTGGCACAACAAAGGGATCTTCAGGTGCTCATATTATTTTCCTTCAGATTTTTGTAGGCTTGCTTATGTGATGTATGATATTCACATGATTAGCAAACTTAATGTTGCCTAATTAGGCCAAAGTGAACTTATGGGTGAAAGTGTGAAGATTTGGTTTACATCTAAGGCTTTCATTATGAACCTCTTAGACATAGGTGATAGCTCCCAGAAGTTCATAATTTGTTATTCCTTAGCACACCTGTTTTCAATCTAGTATTGATTAAAGTAAGTTACTCCCTCTTTTCTAAAACTTAATTTAGTCTTATACTAATTCAAATCACTCTAACATTGACCAGGTTTATAGAAAAATATATTAGTATCTACTCTTTTCTAGATACATAATATCTAGGTGCATAGCAAAAGCCATGTACCCAGAAAACGGAGGGAGTATAATACTTCTTCCATCTATATTTAACCTGCGTCTAAGCAAAAAGCACAGAGAGCAAGAAAAAACTAACTCCCTGTGTGATCGGCTGCTGCTAGCTGCCTCATTAATGCAGCAATGCACATGCACCCAATGAATGTTGCTCTCTGCCCATTAATGTTGCAAGGCGTACTTTGCTGCATGCGCTGCCCATTGAATACGGAGACCCCCAGCTTTTGCTGCATGCGCTGCCCATCGGATATGGAAACCTAACGTGGCTTCGCGCGTGTTTAGTTGCCCAAATTTTGGAATTTGGGATACAGTAGTACTTTCGTTTTTATTTGGCAATTAGTGTTCAATTATGGACTAATTAGGCTTAAAACGTTCGTCTCGCAATTTTCAACCAAACTGTGTAAATAGTTTTTTTTTCGTCTACATTTAATGCTCCATGCACGTATCGCAAAATTCGATGTGATAGGTACTGTAGCACTTTTTAATTAAACTTACTCGATGTTCTACATGTTGGTGTATTTTTCTAAAAAAAACTTGATCAACGTTAGAAAACTTTTATCTAGGACAAAACTAAAATGAGCTACATTTTAGAATGGAGTATTGGATTAGTGGTAAAAATTTGAATTGCTGTTCATGGAAAAGACTTACTGTCAATCACTGTGATAAATAGTACTCCCTCCGTTCCAAATTATAAGTCGCTTTAACTTTTTTGGTACATCTATTTTACTGGATGTACCAAAAAAGTTAAAGCAGCTTATAATTTAGAACGGAGGGAGTACTTATGTTGGCAATCAGATGTAACAAACATATTAGTCTCTATTCTGTTGACCGGTAAAGATTCCTGATATAGAGAAGTGCTTGAATATTGTTGCAACATTACAAGCTAAGAAGGGCGGGCCTGGTGCAAGCGGTAGAGTCTTACCGTGTGTGACCGGAAGGTCCCGGGTTCGAGTCGCGGTCTCCTCGCATTGCACATGCAAGGGTAAGGCTTGCCACTGACACCCTTCCCCAGACCCCGCACAGAGCGGGAGCTCTCAGCATTGGGCACACTCTTTTATTATAAGCTAAAAAGGATTTGGGTGAGGTTTGTACAATTTTCTGGAATCGAGTTATCTACTTTCTTTTCATCTTCTATAATGATGATGACACTATTGTTGGGGCTGTACTCTAGCACTTAGGCCTATAAAATGTTCAGTTTTGACACTTTACATGGCTCATTGGTTCCTTTATCTTGTGTTCTGCTACCGTGCTACGTAGAAACTTTAGATCCTGTACTTCAACTATATCTCGAGTTGTAATTTACTGGTTTATTGTGTACTTTCTGCAACTTTTATTGGTCAGTAACTAAGTATGCAGTATCATTTATGCATAATAATAACTTTTGTTGTATAAGGATTTAAGCATGAAAAGTAAATGAAAAATTGAATTCTCAGTAAAGCACCCAACCCAAGGAATTTTATCATTGGAAAAGGTTAGTGTGCCTGCACCAGGGGTTTCATATGCTTACACGACATACATGTCAAATTGTTTCATCTGCAGTGCCATTTAAACTTGCCTATTGTCATATCGTGCACATTTGCAGGAAATTAAGCTGTAGGCTCCTCGATACTTTTTTTATGCTATAAAACCATGATGGATTCTAGTTGGGACTGGACTTGAGCAAATCAATTGTCCAGTGAAAGCTAACGGTCCATGGCTTCCAATTAACTGATCCAGGCACTCATAGCCAACGGTCCACGGTCCTTTGCTGTTGTTGATGGTTCCTTTGCTGTGTGGGAACATTAGAAGATGACATTTCACTGCTTTTTTTCCCCACTGGATGCCCATATCATTCTTCAGGGTTTACAAAGAAGGCTTGCAGCGGCAAAACATATATTAGTCCACCTAGTTTGTCACTCAATTACCAAAAGAAAACTAGGATCTTTCAACAGCTCAACCAAACAGGGCCTAAGTGTGGCATGAGTCAGAGATCATATATGTAACTATGTTATGAACTTCTGCTGTAGGCTTTGAATTTTTTATGTATGAACTAATGTGATGACCAAACTTCGGTTGTAAACTTAAACTATGCTTTCTATGTTAAATTGAAGTGGTGCAAGTTATGTGTGTGTTTCGTAATATGGTGAACCTAGATGAAGCTACTTAGTTGGTTAGCATGAATGGTGCTACTGGAGATGCCCGGGTTAAGTTAGTGTTGGCCAAGGGATGGCAGATCAATTTAGTCTGATTAATTGAAGGGTCTTCGAGGCTTTTGACCCAGCAATGAAGTCAGATTAATGTTAAAGTGATTGTCCAGTCGAGAATATGTGTTCCGTAGTAATGTTGTTGGCCGTGCCAAATCTTTCGCTGGTCAAAGTGGTGTTTCGGCCGCCCCAAATTGGTCAGACAGGGGCGTCAATAAGACTGGAGACGAAAAATTCAAAGCTTGTTAGCTCGGCCGGCTCGGCTCGGCTTGGCTCGTTATGATAGTGAGCCGAGCTGAGCAAAGATTTGAGCTTGTTAGCTATAACGAGCCAACTCAAGCCAGCTCATGAGCCAAACGAGCCATGCTTTCAAGGAAAAAAAAAGAAGCAGAACTCATATTGGGTTTTCTATTATTTTATGTCATGCACTCTACAATTGGTTGATGAATGGTCTAGACTCTATAAACTTGGGATTATTATGACTTCATCATTTTGTTTTTAATGAATGTATGGATAGTTATGATCACATTATGTATGATATCGAGTATGAACCATGGATGTATGGTGTAATATTATAGTATATCGTTATACTTGTATATATGTTAGCACATATATATTAATTTTTTATTCAATTTAAAGATGTTGGATGTGTTAATTTTGTATTATTACTATTCTCAAGCTTTAAATAAATACAAATGTTATATTTTGTGTACTTTTTTATACCTGACTCGTGAGTCTAATGAGTCTGGCTCGAGCTCGTTAGCGAGCCTAGCCAAGTCGAGTTGGCTCGTTATCCAGCCCTAGGCGTTGAATTGATTTGAGATTACTTACACCACCCACCCAAGCCAAACAACGACAGACTTCCAAATGCCGCGGAGCTGACCCCGTCAACGGCCGAAATTAGGCCCGGCCAGCAGGGAAGAAAATTGGGCACGGGACTCCCATATACTGCACCGTGCGACTGTCAATGAACCAGCGACAGGGATCTTCAGTTGTGAGCCTCCCTCTTTCCCTTCCCTCTCCCGCCACGCGTTGTCATCTGAGTGGGCGGGAGTCCTGTACCAAATTTTTTTCCAGCCAGCAGGATATCCATCAAACAGCCCCCAGGTGGCCAGGTGCTTATGTCACGCTGCTGTCCAGTCTCCTTTGACAATAGAATTATTACTGTATGTTTACTTTGCTGCCTGTTATAAATCATAAGTTATTCCAACTTTCTTAGAGAATAAAAAACGTCTCAAGTTTAACTCAAATTATAAAGAGAATTACAAAAATGTATGATATCAAATAGACATTACTATAAAAATATAATTAACAAAGAATCTAGTAATACGTATTTTTTATCATAAATGTTATTATTTTATTATATAAAGTTGGTCTTCATATGTTTAGACTTTGCAAGACGCTGTGGCCGAGCACCCGCTCGTTGCCTTCCTCGTCGCTCTCTGACACTTCGCCTTGCCTCCCTGCATCTCGACCTCGAGTACACTCCAGACGCCGAAGTTCTGGCCTCATGTCATGTACTCATGTCCCGTGCAATACATGCGTTCGACAAAATGCCTAGAAGAGACAACAAGCCAGTACTCCTGTCACATGAAGACTGATGTTGCTGTAGGTCGTCTTGCATATAAACAGTGTGGATGATGAAGGCAAGATACTTAGATACAAACTCCGCTACACGATGGATCATGGTAAGTGGAATAAATTACTTATTTCCTGTTCTCTTTTTCATTTGACTGCAATCATTACAAAATATCATGCCAAAAGAATGCTCAGCCCAAAGTCATGAAGCTAGCAAAGGCTAAGTGCCAAAAAAGACTGTGAGAGCATGCTTCACGGAAATTGTCGTATAGTACTGTTTCCGAAAGTATAAAATTATATTTATTGACGTGCCAAAATTTTAAACCCGATAAGAAAGTTAGCAGTGCATATGTTTCTCTCTTCATATAAACTAGACAACTATTTTTATGTGAAAGCATTTACATTTAAGACTAGCAAACATTGACTCGCTAATCAATCAAAACTATTACGTTAACTAAGCACTATTTTCTTGGGGGATTGTAAAACAGAGAAAATTTAAACACACACTTCGTTCTTGCCAGTTCATAGCGTTTCGATATAAATTTTCAGTTGAGTCCTGCAATATATGGGTTCTTTAACTAATGGGAGCAGAGTTACAAGGCAGCATGAAGTTAGTATTGATCCTGTTAGGAATTTAGGCATTCTCATGTTTTCCAAAAAAAAATTGATAGCAAATT